GACACCGAGACACTCCGGCGTATCCTTCGTTCCTCAACCGAATCCGCAAATATACCGCTATTGGAAATGAACGTGGCTTGTGCAAGTGGGCGTGGTTCTAGTGCTCCTAAATGGACAGGATCCTTCGACCGCTGTGCAAACTGAACGGGACAGAGGCTGGTAATCGAGAGACGAGGCTGAGCTTCCAGTCCAGAAATCCTCCAGGACGCCTCTCGTTCACAAACACTCGTCCTGGCCGGAGGATTAGGGCGGAAGTGCCCCGTGTCTCCGGCCTGGCTCGCTGACGATTGCATTTCTCGGTTCTTCCCGTAGAAATTGTTTCAATTCGACTACGCCACCACAGCCTCCACGCGTCGATTACGAGATTAAATCGGACTTAGTCTCCCTTCTCTTTCTCTCTCGTTCGAACCATTCTTCGGAGGGTTGGCTTATTTCTCCGTGGCGTGGAAAACAATTTCCTGGACTCGTCGCAATTAAAAGTCGTTCACCGAACAGAAAGAGTGATTCCTCGATGCTGCATCGATCGATCGACGTCGATTATTAATTACCGTGGTGGGGGGTTAATGATTCGAAGGTTGCGACCAGAGTGGCGGATAATTAAGAAGAAACGATGGGATACCCGGTTCCTTTTTTGCCCAGGTTGGAGGAATTGTGACAAAGCAGCCCGTCCAGAGATAACATCTGTCCGCTCGAAAGCTCCCACCCACCTTTCCTCTCACTTCCAGTCTCCGTGTAAAGCTGACTTGCATTTTCTTTGTTCATTAGAGACACACAGGTTGCAGGTGGCCCGTTCAAGCTGCGAGGTTTTTCTTCCCTCGGTAGACATTGAACGGTACGGCATGTTCGTGGATTTTATCCACGTTTATTTTAATCAGGTCGAGTAGAAGTGAATTTTTGTTTAAAGGGCTGTTTAATTTTGGAGCTTCTTCGAGGAAATATTGCCAGGGAGATTCTGGTGAAATTCAACGTCAAAAATGACACCCTAATCATCTTGTTTATGACTTGAACACTATTTGAGAACACTCGGGAACAACGGAACGGCGCAGTTAACTTATTAATGCCTTGCAGTTAAGGTCCAAATTGGACAGGTGAAGACACACTCTGTACGATAGACAGCGCGCGATTAATTGTTCGTCGAACTTTAACGAACATAAACTATCGCGCTAATAAGGTATCTGTCACGATACCTTATCACCTGTTCTCAAGGTAATTGAAACTTCAGCGATCGACGCACCTATATTCAGCAATTAGACGTGTCACCCTGTAACTACTTCACGGCTACGTAAATATTCCCCACTGTACAGACGAGTGTGTCTACAAAATTTAAGAAACATCTCTCGTCGTTACCCTAACAACGAGTCAGGACTCGTGACCCAAATTCTCCTTCACCTTTCAATTCTAACTTTCGCTCTAATTCACAACATCAGCTTTTCTCACCTGACACCGGTACATAATTTACACGCGCAACCAGTCGAAAAGAAAATCATAACTCAAAGAGCTAAACGTCACAAGCGAGACATACTCGAGGACGATAATTCCATCCTAAAACCCGTGTAGATCGACGACAATCAGAAGAAAGTTCATTCAACGTGCTGAACAGCTGACACAAAACAACCGGTCGTTGTACTTCAACCCAATTTCCCCGGCAGCTCCTTGATCTCAATTAACTACGCCCTCCTCGTCTACGCCAATTTACCATTTCCAGCGAACTAGCAAGACTCGAGCCCGCCTGGCCTTCGTTAAACTACGATTCACCTGACTGAATATGCGCCCCGGACTAATTCCTCCACATTTTACCCGTCCACCGTTCGTTTCGCTCTTATTATCCAACCTGTACAGCGTACACAGCTAGTACACACTTGGTACACGTTGATTCTCATCCGTGGATTCTTCGTACCGGCGGGTCTTAGATCAATCGATACCGAGCAATATCTCTTCCAGGGCCATTCTCCAAGATTCCATCCTTGGTCTTGGATCGCGTGTGTACACACACGTACACCTGAATGATCACAGACACGTGAACCGTTCAATTTCACCCCCCTAACCAAACCTAGGCTACACTAACGTGGCTCCTGCCGCTAGCTAGCCTCGCCTAGCCGTGTCTTCGTGTATACGTATCAAGCGGCGCCCAATAAATCCACGGTTTAATTAAACTAAGTTTAAACGGATCCTCTCCCTTCCCCCTCCACTCCGCCGTACAAAGCAGTTATACGTATTACGTTCGGAGTTACCAGGTTGCGTTACGTGACCACGTTTCGAACGTTGCATTTTTTCATTCTTTTAATTACAACGTCCTCGTTGGTACAAAAATCCTGTTATTTCACTCAACGATGGAGTACAGTCGTTCCGTTGAATTCTAGTTGCACGGCTGCTAGTGTGGCTGTTAACGTGTCGAGGGAAAAGATTGGGTTCTCCTGGGAGATAGAGAATTGTATCGAATTAGACGACAGATCGACGTACCGAGGCATCGATTGTACCAGGAAGGAAGAAGCAAACCGACCAAGTAGAATAATTAAATGGTCACCGATGGTTTGCTACACGCATCACGAATTCCTTCTACGGTTCCGCATCACGCCTGTGTGTACCGAAACACGATTAAGCCTAAGCCATTCCAACTATTTCCCTTGGAGCATGCGATGGGAAGTGCTCGATTAAACAGATCGCTAAACACCAAACAATCGACCTCGCTCTGTTGCATCCATACCGTATATCGGGGGCAAACTAGATGCAACACCGTCTATTTTTCCTGTTCAAGGTAGAGAGGAGAACAGAGGTTCGGTACAGAGGAGCAACAGTTTTCCAGGCGGAATTTTAAGAAGCTCGTATATCACAGCATCAAACCTGCTGCATTATTCAGGCTAATGCATCCGCCTAATAAGAGAGCAATGGATTCAGTTCGACTATTTGTGGTGTTAGCGGTGCTAGACATGGTGCAGAAGGAAATACGAGGGTAGAGAATGAAAATGGAAATAGAGCTCGGGCAGAGAGAATCGTATCGAATTTATGTGGAACCTTCAACGAACGGCATTTGTGTACGCGTTTAACGCGTTTAGAAAGAAACGCAGAGTGCACGAGGGGTGCGTTCAGATAGAGCACGAAGCTTGTTACCACGGTATTAATAATCTTATCCTTCCATTATTCATCCTACCAGTTCCTCAAGCTACCTTGCAATCTCCGACTCCAACCTTTTGCAATAAGTAATAACTCCAAACTACTGCAACCTAACTATAAACTGGGTTGCACATTTCTTCTGTACTCTAACCTACTCTTTCTCTGGGTTCTCACTCTCAACTCTAAACTTTCTCACATGCACGTTCTCCACACTCGTTTATCCTCACGTTCTCTATCCCTCTCACTTTACGCAGAAATTCCTGCGAGACATTCGGTCAGCTCCACCGAAAATCTTTGGTCGCCGAAACACTCTTCTTTCACACTGTTATCGCTCGAAAAATTCTACCGCTTAAAGTCCAAGTGTTCCACTCGAACTCGACCGACCACCATCGCTTATCCTTTGATCTTTGCACGCGTTTTCGTACAAGTTTCTGCTCAGGTACGTGTTCTTTAGCCTCGTGTATACACAGGGAACACGGGATAGGAGCGAGGAGGGGTTTTGGCCTGTAACCACTTGTCCGAGTATGCTTGATCGGTTCATTTGCCGCTGGCGAGGGTGCAGTCACCCCTGACCACCCTTGGCGATTCTAGTCTAACCTACGCTCGCTTCTTCCGCTGCTCGAGCCTCCCCTACCTGACAATTAAAGACACCGCTTGTGCAGCATGAACCAAAGACAGACACAGCTCTATCGACACGTACAAGGATGCCTTGTGTAGAGACACGCGAGAAGGTAGCGGCGAATTGGAGGACGAGGTAGGGTGGAGAAGAGATTTAAGGACCGTCTTTCTTACTGCTAGCCCGATGGACGTCCAGTGACGCGTTAAAGTAGACTGGAGGTGATGTCAAAGAGGTGTGGATCGTGTTAAAACGAGTAGGGCAGTTCTTAGACCGTCGATCAGGTAGTTGAATTGGACCAAAGGTGATTTTTATCATCGAACCGTGTGTGAAACGAAAGTAATAGAATTTACAGCAGTATTGCACGATCTATAGACAGATTTTCGTTGAATACCGAATGAATAATAGGTAGACCGATCGGGAGTTCGGTTTAATTGTTCTTTTAATTCCCTGCTAATTTGAACGGTGTATCGATAGCTAGAGAACTGTGAACCATAGAAAGGTGGAAAGGCTGGAAAATGTAGCAACGATATACGTAGTAATAAGTAAACATTACACGATCTCTCCCGATACGTGAGTACCGAGCGCAAAACTAGCCATTATGCATATCGATACGGTTTATACGTATGCTAATGCTCAAACGCCGATAATTATGCGAATATTTCTGTTCCGTTTCGTTGTTCCGCGTCGCTTTTAACCCGTTCTACCAACGAACGTTTAATGAACTGCACTGTACCAGAAATCATCGGTAGCAGCCGCTTGTTAAAGTGCCGCGATATCTGGATCTTTCTCGTCCACGGTGTAAAATTATTCGTAATTGCCATTGAAATAATTGTAAACGAGGAGGCTGACTGATGCAGATTACGAACAAGGGGAAACGAGTGTGAACGCTGCAGCAGCACGTTCAATGTATAATAGTAATCGTGATATCGATCTATTCGTGGGATAACGCAGAGTACGAATGAAAATTTTCAATTATACTCTTCACTGGGTATTCAAAGTTTTTGAAAAACATTGCAAGATCTAAAGATTGCCTGTGTGCTAATTTCTATCGATTTTCCAATGTTTCGAAGAATACCTGATCAATATTTTTTTCCACCGATGCTATTTAATCTCATTGTCAGTGAAATTAAAACGAAAACTATTCCCTCGTCACATCACGCCGTTTACACCAGAAAATTCCATTATCCCGCAATTATCATTCGACAAACACATTGGTCGAGCGTCCCAGAATATTAAACGCGAGGTATCTTTAACGAAATAAGTCACTCACCACTCTGTCTCCAGGATGCTTCACGTAGCAATTCAATTCCGCTGCCTGGCCAACGATAGCGGTGACATTCCGCTGGCCGATGTCGTCGAATTCCGGTTTGTTCAAAGGATTCGTCGGCTTACATCCGGCGACGACGCTCGCCAGGCTCAATCCACCTGAAACGAATACACAAAACGCCATTAAGGAAATTGTCTAGCAGGTCCCCCTGTTCGGCAAAGAAATCTTCTCCAACTTTCTATTCTTCCTACGTAAACATTTACCTGCAATAACGGCGAAAATATTCCGCGTACAGACAAAGTTCGAAATATTGTACGAGATACACGACGTAGACGAACAGGAAGAAATCTATTCTTATTTAGAGAGGCGTCACAAGAGCAACAGAACAGCCAGAGCGTTTCTCACAAAGTCAAAGTAAGTTCGGATGAATATGGAAACTCTTCGAGCTGCTTTACGTTCAAACGAGGTTAGACGTTGCAGCTGCTTTGCAACATCAAAAGTTCTATCTCTCGAGTGGACTGGTTTGTTGCCTAGTCCCCCTCGCTTTCCACCGGCAGAAACGCACCTATATAAGTACGTACATACATCCCATATATACACGCGCGACAATGTACACACGGCTGATTCTAATAACCGCTTGATTAAGGGTGAACTTCTTGGCAATTGTAATGCGTCACGCTATTGTGCACGGTTGTACGGTAAGCAATCACGGTGAACGTTCGCGAAATACCCGGTGTGTTAGCTGTGCTTATAGAAACCGCCGTCTTCTTTGATCCGCCGTTAATGCAAATAGTTCCCCAACTAATAATTTCGAGAATACCTCGGCTTCCCTCTGGCATCCTTCCCCTTCTACACCTGTCTTCTCAGGTAGTTTCGTTGACCTTCGATTCACAGGCATAATGCATAATGCAATTCGATCACATGGTAGACACCGAGGGGTGGGTCGAAGGTAGTCGAAATTGTTTGCGTTGAAAATTTCATTGTTTCGCTATCGAGGAGAGAGAGACTTGTTCCTTTACCTATACATATATACCACCGGTGGACCCGATAATTTATGCCTCGCATTATGACGGCATTTATTTCGCGAGCCACTTCATTATACGTCGGACTAATGCGATTTCGGAGTGAATCAAAGCTCGTCGCTTGTCGGATTAAATAAACGATGACGCGCTCGGGTATTCGCGTGTCATTCTGTCGCAATGGCAATTTTCAACGGTCTCTTCCACCTCGTATCGATGATTTCAAATACGTTAATTAATCGCGAAGAAATTTTCTAGTTTTACCGTATCTATTAAATTTGGTTCCTCGCGTGAAAAAGATACCGAAGATATCGGATTGAAAAGCGGTAACCGTTCTCTCTCTCTCTCTCTCTCTCTCTCTTCGTCGAATCGAATTGCAGCCATTCCAGATTTATACGAATCATTCGATTTACCATGATTTCGTCGATCGCAGAGATGAGAGAATCGCCATTAACATAATCCCGTGAGAGTGGGTGGAAATGGTGGAAAAACGGCACTATGTCGAGCAAGGATCGAAACGGCCGGCAAGTGGCGGGAAACGGGGGTGTGGGTGAAAGGTACGCGTGGAACGGGCCGCTCGATAAAATTTCCCATTGTAGTCCGGGGGTAAAATGGGATTTCGGCGGGGCCAGAAATTGAAATTGTTACGAGGTACACGCGAAATTGTGGAAATCGCCCAACGGTAGCCAGATATCGCGATATCGATACGCGTTTCCGAAGGAACCGGTTCAAAGGGATTGGCAGCCGATAACGAACCATCCAACGTCGCTTGTCATGAAATTAATTTACCACCGTTTCACCTCTCGATCATGGCCATCGTCGTTCGTTACTTTCAGGTACGGACGATTTAATGGTGCACCGTGGCGGTACGAGACCGACGAAATGGGAAATCTGTAAGCGTCCAGTAAAAACGAATGTCGACAGAACGCGCCATCGAGCATCGCGAGGAGAAATTTTACGCTGCACACGCGGAAATGGACCAAAAGGGGTTGCCCATCGATCGGATTCCGCTGCCAGGGAATACTTGGAGAGATTGTCGATATATCACACCGACTGACGTATCAACCATAGGGATATTTTCAAGGTTCCACAAATGTTTCTCGTTTTATTTAATTCATACACAATTCTCAAATTTATTTTCTTCTAACAAATCATTTCACGATTTTCGAGTGTTTTAATTTTCGACGATTCGAGAGAGCACGGTGTTTCAGATCTAAGAAACGAGCGAAGAAGCGCGTCTCGAGATATTCTTGGTGCATAAAAATATTCTTCTGCGTACCTCCTCGCGTGTGTTTATTCAAATTTATTCAAATTCGAAATACAACCTCGCAGCCAGAGAAATTACGAATACTATCCAGTGATTTCTTCCTTTTTTTCGTAAACGATAAACAAGAAATCATGTGTTTTAAATAAACGTTTGCACAATCTCCGTTCGGTGATCCACCCAATTTCGTACCTACCAGTCGTAGCACGTAGGTTCAGTTATTTGATCTGCCCCTTAGATTCCAAGTTGGCCGAAAAGCAAGGCTAGGATACCTTTCGACTCCCTCTCTCCACGAATTTCAAATCTTCCCAGGGAATAAACGAGATTAAAAGAGGCAAGAGGAAAAAGAAAATATACATATACCAGAAGGTAGGAATAATCGAAAGAACAACGAAAAGGCTCGGTGCAACGTCACGTCACAGGGTGAAACGAGGGAAGGAAGAAAAAAAAGCGCAGTGAAATTATAGCAGTGTAATACCAGTCAGCGCACGGTCGATGTATGCAGCGTATGCATGGTCGACACGCGAACCCTTTAAATTCGTCGTGGTTCCTTCAGCCTGGACGTTTCTGCCTTGTAATTTCAATGGAATGCATCGCAGCGAGATAAGCAATCGTAATTGAACCCTTGAACAATGTTGCACGGCTGCAATCTCACACGGGAGAGTGAAATTGACAAGGTTCGTTTCTTCACGGAACGATGTGACTGTCTCACCGTTGATTTCGAACAGCGATCGAAATGAATGCTCCAACTTTTTCGTTACAGATCGAGAATTTTCCTTATTCCACCATGTTTCACCGTATCGTTCGGTTAATGTAGTTTCGAATCGAGCACACGCCTACAGAGAATGTCCCTATTGTTATCCACTTCTTGTTTCATGACAGAGTTTTCTACCTCTCTCTCTCTCTCTCTCTCTCTCTCTCTCTCACCCCCGTAGTTTCCATTCGAGCATGGTAGTTGGCTCGGAACTACGACGTCGATTCTTTCTCCTAGTGGATCGTATCGTCGATTTCGGCATTGAATTCACTTCGAGCACCGTCTCCCGAGCGAAGGGTCCGCTCCTTTCAACCGTTTCGTTCCACGGCGCTCGACCGACACGATTCACCCTCGGGTATACGAGCAGAACCTGGCTATTTATACGATTGCCCTGGCCTCACAGCCTCTTCTTTTTGCTCCTCCTCCTTCCTCTCATCGACCTTCAGGCGAAGGCGAATCTCAACATTTCCGTTTTACCGTCGATGCCTCCCAACGACCGTTCCAACGCGTTCCCGGGTACATTTTCGACCGTGCGTTTCTCCTCCTTCCTCCGCGTTACCGTTAAAGTAATTAAACGAGCCAGACAGAGAAGCGAGACCTACGTATCGAGTCCAGTGAAATTATCGAAATATTGTGACAGAAACGCGGGAGAATTTTCCAACAAATTATTCCCTGGTTAATTGATTCTATTAAAATTAACGCACAGGTAAATGGAAACGGAGGTAACTAAATGTAGGTTGTGTTTTAATAATTCAACGGGTAGAAATGCTGGCAGAGTGTTTGGTCTGTTTTTCACCTCCCCACACCATCTCCTTTTTCTAATCACGATTGTTCGTTCGCTGTCGCAACCGGGAGGTATTGAACACGGGAAAATTCTCGTCGTCCCCTTTTGCCACGAGCTGGAAGGGTGAATGGAAGAACGAGAGAGGGTAACAGGAAATTCTAATTACTCGATTCAAATATTCAACAGCGGCGTGTCGCGCGCGACTTGTTCGCCTCGCGTTTATTTTACTGTCAAATGTGATTCTAATTAAAACTATTCCCGTTTTACTTCATACGTGGAATTTTGTGCGTTTAATTTCGGATTAAATTTCTGTCACCCCTTGTTTCTACTCTTATGTTTCCTATCGTTCCGTTATTTTACTTGTTCAATTATTTCATACCCAATTGTCGAAATTTAAACTAAAAACAGATAGAAATTTCTCGAACGATTAAACAAATTAGAAAAAAATTCTAGGTGATAAAGTATAGTGTGCACAGGTCTCGTAGATCACAAATGGGCATAACAAACGGCCAAAATTAATCCATAAAGTATCCCAGGCTGACCGACGTTATTTAATCGCGGAGTTAACCCCAGTGCAAGCAGTGCATTCCACAAATCAAGCTACAGTTCGAGCTTCGTTTCAATAATCGTCCCGGAACTGCTAAATAACTCAACAGTTTCGACCAGGCGGCGGGCAGATTGCACAGGATAGCCGTGGCTCGTTGTGCAAAGTTGAACTCGCCGCTCCGGTGCAACCCTGGGAAAATCGCGATAACGTGGCGAAACCGGGGGTTACTCGTTACGAGTCTGAGCCCTTATGCTTCCTACGGGGCCAGAATATGGGCATATTCTATTAGCAGGATGGTTTACACGGTTGCCCAACCTCGTAAATAGAGTCGGTAAACAGATTCGCGCGCCAGAACTATCGCGGCAAGGCCGTCCGAGGCTGCAACAGTTTCGTTCGCCAATTTCATCAGCAACCATGATGCATCGTATGCACAGGAGACAACAGAGGCAGCACTAAGTGTGCACAATCTCGCTAGATTTTTTTCTCGAATTTTTTTCGGGGGAAAATAGTTACTCGAGTGAAACTTTGCAAAGTAGAAGTGAAAAATTTGAAGGCTTTAATTGTATAAAAAATGTTATTTGTGTGATTAAATATTGGAGGTGTGAAATGAGCTTAAGAATGAAATTCAATATTAGTCTCGAGTCTTTTCTCATAATTTTACAAAGTTTCATCTCTTCAAATATGTGTCATCGTTGCAAATAGAATTCTATAAGCGAAATTATTTCACTTTTATCAGCACCTTAGATTGCTCACAGCGTTCTTTTTTCTCTCGCGGCGAGAGTGTTAAGAA